CAAGAATACTTTGAGTTCTTATTTAGAGCGTAAAGCTAAGCTTAAGGATTTTAAAAGATAGTTTTTAATAAAAGAAACGGTGCAGAAAAAATATACAGAAGACATGTTACAAAAACAAGAGACGAATAATACAACAGTAAAATAAAGGAAATAAGAATGAAAGTACTTAAAGGCCTGGGTTCTATGAGTTACAGCAGAGTGCAGTCAATGAAACAGAAAATAGATCTGGGGTGGTCTCTCTCTCTCTTGAAGGCTTGCAAAGGTTCTGTTCTGGATGTTCAAATAAGAGCTTCTTTGTTGATGGTACACAAAAGCATCTTCTTGATGGTAGAAACAAGACCTTCCAGCTGCCTTGTGCAGCAGCTCTTTGTGGGCCCTCTAGAGGGTGTCACTGAGCCAGCACTTCGCCCAATCAGAAAAACTGGGGAGGGTGAAGCAGGAGGACTGAGCGATTTATGACCTTCCCCCCTGCCCCTCACAAACCATCAGTTTCATAACAATAGCCATATTTTTATATCCTCTCATATTACCACTTGATGAATAGATTATTGTGTATTATAAATTTAACTTTGTATAGATACCAGACTTGGTATGGGTCTTAAGCCCTCTGGACCTTCTAAAGCTGGCCATACACCTTACAATTTATCTGCAGATTTTCTGTGGTCACATGGAAAAGGTGCAACAGATTCCTCCATCTACACTTAACTGTGTGGATGGAGTAATCTCCACCTGGGCCAAATCTGTTGCACTTTTTCCATCTGACCACAGAAAATCTGCAGATAAATTGTAAGTTGTATGGGCACCTTAAGCCGACCATTTTAGGTATATCCTCAGCATCTTCGGTGACATCTATATATGTAGCCATTATTATTGTAGCACCCCCCAGGTGCAAAGTTATCAATACTGAATGACTTTTTGAAACTAATGTTGACTGCCAGGGTGAATGGAGGGTCATTTGCTCATTATCAGGCCAGGCCATCTTTGTGTCTTAACTAGGTTTTCAAGGGATAAATAATTAGTGGCTTTACTTATTGTTTTATGATGACCTGCCATGCAAGACCATTAGGACCCAGTCACAGCAGTCATAAGGGGGCTGAATAAAGAACAACTCTGTTGTTCTGGTCATTAGGATGAATTGAAGCTTTGAGGACTCTCTTAAATGGAAAACCTTTTAAATCGGTGATCTGATTTACTTATAACGAGAAGTGATGATTTTCAACAAGGGGTTCTCTATTTACAGTTGTCTCAAAAGTTTGCAAACCCTTGAAGAATTGGTAATATATGTACTTCTTATGGGATTCATATTCAACTGTAGGTCATAACAGAATGGCACAATCACAAAACAAAACATGGCAACAAATGAAAAAAATTAAATGACCCCTGTTCAAAAGTTAGCATACCCTTAGTTCTTAACACTGTGTATTGCGCAGGGTATAGCTGCCTATTTGTCTTGGCAAAATGCCTCCAGGTAATGCAAAGCCTTTGGTCATCTTGCATGTACCTTACGCTTGAGATCTCCCCAGAATGGCTCGATGATATCAAGGTCAGGAGACTGTGATGGCCTTGAACCTTCACCTTTTTCTGCTGTAACCACTGGGAGGATCAACTTGGCCTTGTGCTTAGAGTCATTGTCATGCTGGAAAGTCCAAGAGCGTCTCATGCGCAGCTTCCGTGCAGAAGAACCCAAATTGTCTGCCAGTATTTTCTGATAACATGCATTCATCTTGCCATCAATTTTCACAAGATTCCCCGTGCCTTTAGAGCTCACACAACCCCATAAGTGGGCCACCACCATGCTTCACAGTGGAGATGGTATTCTTGAAGGCTTGGTTGATCCCTCTCCAAACATAGCTCTTATGATTGTGACCATAAAGCTCTATTTTAATCTCGTCACTCAAAATTACAGTGTGCCAGAAGCTGTAAGGCGTGTCAAGGTGTTATCGGGCATATTGTAACTAGGCTTTTTTGTGGCATTGGCACAGTAAAGGGCTCTTTCTGGCAACTCGACCATGCAGCTCATTCTTGTTCTTTGAAACAACCACACTGTCTTTTTCCAGAGCAGCCTGTATTTCTCCTGAGGTTACCTGTGGGTTTTTCTTTGTATCCCGAACAATTCTTCTGGCAGTTGTGGCTGCAATCTTTCTTGGCCCACCTGACTTTGGCTTGGTATCAAGAGATCTCCCAATTTTCCACTTCTTAATAAGTGATTGAAGAGTACTGACTGGCATTTTCAAGGCTTTGGAGATCCTTTAATATCATTTTCCATCTTTATAAAGTTCCATTACCTTGTTACAAAGGTCTTTTGACAGTTATTTTCTGCTCCCCATGACTCAGTATCAAGTGCATCCATGAGTGCATCCATGAGAAAGCTAACAAACCTATTGACTATTTATACACAGACACTAATTGCAATTTAACCTCTTGCCGTCCGCCCGTAGTAAAAAAACGGACGGACGGCACTGCTGCATCTGCGGGTTGCCGTCTCCGGACGGCAATTTTTTTCTGACAGATGTGGGAAATTAATCTTTAATTGCCATTTTAACCTGTGTGGGCCAAACATTCCAGGGTATGTAAACTTTTGATCAGGGCCATTTGGGTGATTTCTGTTATTATGATTTAACCCTTTCGCTGCCAAGCCCTCCGGAACATTTTTCAAATCAGTTGGCCAAGCCATTTTTGAATTTTCTGCAATTTTTCCTATTGATTTGATTTTCAACTGCTGCGTTGCTAGCGTTTGTAAAAGACCCCCCAAACCATATATTTTCTGAAAGCGCAGGCCCGG